CAGGTGACACTGTTTTAACTATAGGTTATATTTAAATCAGTAAAGTTTCGATATATATGAATTAATACTCCGTATTAAAAACATGTGTATTTAAATTAGTAAAGTTTTGATATGAATTAATATATATTAAAAAACGTGGGTGTATGTGTGCATAGTTTTCTATTTCTGTGTGCATCTATATTATATCAGTATATGAATATGTATGTATATCACTATGACTATACATATGTATCAGTACATGTATATGTATAAACGTATAGAGTGTTTGTGAGTGTATGTGGTGAGTCGGTGAGGTGCTTGTAAATGTGTGAGTGCATTTAATTGAAAAATCTTAATTTTGAGCATATGTTCTATAAATAACCTGGAAAAGTTGAAATCATGATTGATGAAAGATTATAAGTTTTGAGTTTATTTTACATGACGATGACATGACAGACATGACAATAGTAAATCATACAAAACCGTTCATCTGAGGAGCATGTATGAAGATGCTCTAAGGAGTAAGAGGGAATATGTTATGAAGTACTTTTTATGACCGAATTAAGCAAATTTAAAGGAACAATTTATTTTGTAGTTTTTTGGATGAAATGTAAATTATATTAACACTCAAGCAAAATTTAACATGTACAAAGTGTCAAAAAATCAAAGTCCATCCACCCCCTCCTATTTCGTGAGAAAAGGAAAGGGTGAGAAGACACTTATAGTCTAGTCTAAGTCAATCTCGGCCTATACGCAATAATATGCGGTCAATAAGTCAAAAATCAAAAACTATAATGGTGCTGCAAGGTGCATGTACACAAATCCGGTATATATATAGAGGCTAAGTTGTGGCTTCCCAAAAAGTCCTTAGCTCCACTTCAAAACTTGATCAAGTAATGTGGGTAGATACTAAAGAGTATGGTATCTTGTAGACCACATGCTTGATCTTAGCAACCACGTCATCTTCTGTCTTCTTCCCTTCATCAATCTCGCCTCATTTCACGCTTGCCAAATGTAGTAGGCCACGACACAGAATGCAAGCCGCCCAGTCTGGGCTTTCAAGGTTGCTCCTTTGTGCGTCTTGGTGATCCACTTGATTGCACTTAGGAGTGTAGCCATCCGATGCCCAAGTCCAATCAATGCTTTAATTATATATCATACCCTGCAAGAAAATGGACATTGGAAAAATAGGTGTGGAATTGTCTTCAATCCACCTTTGCATAAGTCACACCTATTAACTATGTGTAGGTAACCGAGGCTATCCTGGGTAGGAAGCCGGTTTCTCAATGCCAACCAAACGTTGAATGAGAATTTTAGAGGGATATAGGATTTCCAAATGAAACTCATTGGAGTCCTCGGGTTCCCCTTAACTCTAAGGAGTTCGTAAACCTTGCCGGAAATTAATTTCCCATTGATGCACCTAGCATTAAGTCCCATGATGGTTTCATTTAAATGATTAAAACACCCTCAAATTTTATCTCGAATTAGGTCCAACCTCTTCATAAGTTGTGAGTCCCGACCGTGTGGGATAAACTCCCCCACACTTTTACCCCGAAGGTAAACACCATTCACCCAACGGACCCACAAGGTGTCCTTTTTGTGTACATCCCAAAGAGCGCGTGAAAGGATGCTATCATTCCAGGTCTTAGCATTGTGTATGCCGAGCCCGCCTTCCTCTTTTGGGAGACAAATGTCGTCCCAAGCTACTTTTGCAAACTCCCCCCCCCCCCCCCCCCCCCACAAAATTTCTACAAATGGACACTATCCTATCCAAAATGGTTTGGGGAACCAGAAAAATTTGGAGCCAAAAGGATTGGACCCCTTGGATCACCGATCATATTAGCTCGATTTTCCCGGCATAGGATAGTGTTTTCGTATTCCATGCTTTCAAAAAATCATTCACCGTATCAAGTAAGGGCGCATATTGTGCAACCGAGATCTTAAGAGGGGCAAGAGGAATTCCGAGGTACCTTACCGGGAATGTTCCTTGCCCATAATCAACCAGGTCCAAAATATTTTGAAGCTCAAAGTTCCTCAACCCACCAACTAAAATGTTAGATTTATTTTGTAGTCTTTATGGTCTTTGTCTATTATATTTGAAGAAAAATCGAGTATTTTTTGGGTAGAAAAACAGGTAATAATCGAGTATTTAATACCCCATGTGATGCTAGTATGCATTAGAAGAAAACTAATTATTGTCACTTGCATGTCTATATCACTCATTATCATAAGTAGGATGTACTTCAATTCGTATATGATAAAATAAAGGTATAGTTCAGTGGGAAGAAACATAAGATAATCTACGTTGACTTCCTCAATTTCCTCTTTTTTCTTTATATCGTAAGTATTTATTTTATTTTTCTTTTCAACATCAAATATTTCTGTTTTAGCAGTATCAAAACTGTATCTTTTTTTTGTGCCAAAAAAAAAAACTGTATCTTTTTTTGGGTCTTTCTATTAAAAACATTATGATCGTCCTCTAATAACTTCCTATATATTTTGAATATATAGCACTTAAAATGAAGTCAAACATTATTTAACTTTTTTTTTACTCCAGGGGACGTCTGGATCGAGAGGCCTGGAGTAATTAAGGCTAAACTCACTACATTGAGTTTCGAACCCGAGATCTCTTGTAAGAGAGAGTGAACCGGGTTGGACCGCTTCATCCTCTAACATTATTTAACTTGATACAACCATATAACTTTAATTTGGGGTACTAAAGTAAATGGTGAAATACATGAGATGAGAGTAATGTATACTTTTAAATATTCTACAATAATAATCCCTATTTGGAGTGTTCACAAAAATATTTTGAACTATCAATGGTGTCCATAAAAATAAATTAGCGTAAATCAAATTAATCCCCGTTTAATACTTTCAACCATTACTCCCACTTGTCTCTTCCCCAATCTTATTCTCGAAGTAAATTCAAAGTAAAGCGCGTTTAATCTCAACATCATTTCCTCCATATGTGATTGATTGTCTTTAGTTTGGAAAAAGTGTTAATGAGGATGAAGAGAGGTGAACAAGAAAGTGGAGGTAGGAGTTAGGAGTACTATTATTCTTATGAACACTATTGCTAATACAAATTATTTTTATACAGTATGAGTTATTATTGTAGAATCCATAGAGTAGCCAGGGATTATTCTTATGAATTTCATTTGAACAGTTTTTATTCTCAATTCAGACCAGACCATATCAGATTAGATCACACAAGACCAAATTTGGACATTTATAAATATACAAAGATTAGACATTTACTAGCCGAGACTAGACCAGTTTAAACAAAACATAAAAATTAGACCACAAAAAAATTCAAACCAATTGAAAACATTCTTATTTATCAATTTCTTTATGTTACATGCATTTTTGAAGAGACGAAGATTATAATTTATCTCAATTTTCTAAAAATCTATGGCAAAAAATCGAAACGGGGGTTAAATAAGGTAAAGAAATAATTTAAATTCCATATATAGACTGTAATAATTTAAAGAAGAAAATGGGGGGAATGGTGATGATCATAAATGAGCTTCTCTGCTTTCCGAACAACTATTAAATGCTGCAGCTAAACGCCCCACCCACCACTACTTCATCTTCCTCTTTTCCTCTTTTCAAATGGACCATTTCGCCCTTCCAGCCCTCTCCCAATGTCCGCCGCCTCTTCCCCTCCTCCTCCCCCCCGCCCCTCCGCCTCCTCTCACGCCTCCCCTGCCGCCGCCGCCAGCCTCCAACTCCATCTCCACCAACATCACCACCATCGGCCTCGGCTACGCCATCGCCATCGCCTTCGGCTTCCTCGTCCTCTTCTCCACCGTCCTTCTGGCCTCCTACATCTGCTGCCGCTCCGCCGCCGTCCGCCGCCGCCGCCGCGATGCAGAGTCCGGCCGCCGCAACGCCAACCCCAACGAGCACGGGGTCTACCTCCCCCGCATAATCTTCTCCGCCGAGGAGGACGACGGCGCCGCGGCGCAGAGCGGCGCCGTCGGGCTCGATCAGGCGGTGATCAATTCGTACCCGAAACTCGTGTACTCGAAGAGGAGCTCGAATCCGGGAAACGACAGCTTGTGTTCCATATGCCTGTGCGAGTACAAGGATTCGGAGATGCTCAGGATGTTGCCGGACTGCCGGCATTACTTCCACGTCACGTGCGTCGACGCGTGGCTGAAGCTCAACCCGTCCTGCCCCGTTTGCCGGAATTCGCCATTGCCGACACCGATGTCCACGCCGCTGTCGGAGGTGGTCCCGCTCTCGCAGTATTCCGACGGACGGCGAAGGCAATGATTATTTATTATGATTATGATCACTATTATTACTACTACTACTTCGAATTAATATTGAAATTAAAATTATTATTGGCTGCAATGTAAATTTAGTTTGTTTGGTTTTTTCCCTTCAAATTTTTTGGCTAATGGCTACAATGGATGTTTGGATTTGTTTTTTCTCCGTTTCGTTTCGATCGAGGAAAAGGGTTGCACAATTTTTTGTTGAACTAGATGACTAGATAGTTTTGTTTTGTATTGAATTAGATTTCATTTTTTGGTCTGTTTTTAGTTGAAGAATAATTATTGTTATTGGTTGGTTATGAAGGTATGGTATGGTAGGAGAATAGGAGATCGACGCAATGGGGGAACTTCATGCTGTTTAAAAATAGTGTACAAAAAAACGTAATTCTTTCTTATACCGTTCCATAATTGTAGTTACAATTTTCAAGTACTCAATTATATGCTTTCAAAAAAAAAGTACTCAATTATATGCTTTCAAAAAAAAGTACTCAATTATATCTTATGTTAAGTCATTTAGTAAAGATAACCCGTATTATTTTTTACAAATTGTGACTACGTTATTGAATACGTAGTACTACGTCATATACACTTTTGCTTGTTCGCCATTACTTTTGTTAAAGTTTGTAACTTTTTTTAAGAATATGTGCTTCGTATTCGAAGAATGTATGAAAAACTTTACGTAGTATAAACGTATTTATAACTACATACGGAGTAGGTGTTTCTTCTTCCACTTTTTATCGCGTAGGAATAATAAAAATGTAAGTAGCGGTTTGATAACCCTCTAGCACATTGGACAGTCGAATAGGATCGATTGTTCTGTTTGATGTTCAGAGTTTTGGTTGTTTGGAATGCTTTGATTCGTTGGATGATTGGTTGAAATCAACTTTTGGCTTCAACAATGTCATCGAGATAGATGGGCAGGATCAGGCAAAGTTGTGGTTCACAGCTTTGGCGTGGTTGAAGCTTTGATCACCCATCGACAATCGACAATAATGAAGTAGTACCGGTAGTAGTACTAATAATATATAAGGCGTGGAAGGGGTGGCATGGTAAGATGTGGACGTTCTCCACGCGTGGTCGCGTGGAGGAGACACTGCACGCGGCCATGCTAATGCTGCCAACAGTTGGCCGGTGAGGGAGATGTTGGGCGCCAGGCAGTCGTTGGTGTTGTTGGGGTGATGCAGATGCTGCCTGCTATGGGGTGTGAGGGCCGAGGGAGACGCTTGCGGTGGTTGGGGTAGCTGTGCTGGGCTCTGGAGGCGATGCAGTGACATGAGGAAGAGGGAAAAGCTAGCAGCACCAATTTAAGCGGCATGAAGGCATGGAAGAAAAAAAGCTAGCTTGAAGGGATATTGAAAATTAGTGTTAAAACTTTGATATGTAAGGGGCACTTTAGCATTTACGGAGTGTTTCTAAATTCATTCTGGTCTAGTAGTTTTTTTGTTCATACTAATATACGGAGTATATCCTATACTTGTCGATTGAAGGTTGATAAGTAATACTCCCTCCGTCCCGTTGGGATGTTTCCGCTTTCCTTTTTTGGATGTCCCAAAAAGAAGTTCTCCTTTCCCTAAATGGAAAGTTATCATACATCAAAACAGTGCCAAACAGTGTCGAAACAGTGTCCAAACAGTGTCAAAACAGTAAAAGTAAAATTTACCCCCTGGGAAGTTTATTTCCTTAATATGTGTGTAGGTCAAACCAGAAACGGGACGGAGGGAGTAATAATCATGTTACTATTTTTTATATTACGTATTTTTCTACTAAAAGATTTGAATTGTTCAATCACTTAAAAAGAAGAAAATCACCGTATTTTTTATAAACAACGAAACTCTTGGGCTCTTGGCAAAGCCAAGATACCTGAAATATTATTATGGAATGATACTTTTACAAAATTGAAATGAAGTGTGGGTTGTTTGTGTGCACAAAAAATGGTAATAGCTGAACAAAAGAATTATACATTGCTATATTTACTAGAGTAATATTGTATATTAAAATAAATAAACAAAAAAATAAAAACCATTTCTGGGAAATGATTCTATAGTACATAAACTGTACACCTTTGTGGTTAGTATTTTTGGAGAGGGCTTGAAAATTGAGAATGTGGGTAATTCGATTCAGCAGAGGTAAGAGGGACAGTTGAGAACTCTGAGTCTGATGAGTTCTGCTCTGCAGCTATTGCCGCCTGGTGAAAACTCCCACTTGGAGATGATGAAGAAAATGAAGAATTGCTAGCGGCCGCTTCTCTCTTCTCTCTCTCCTCCGTCTCCTTGAGAAGAAAATCAACCCATAGATCTCCAAATGACTGAAAAACACACCTTTCTGTTAGTGGATGAATCTAACGGTATCATGCTTACTGTAGCTAAGAAAGAACAGGAGATGACGACCACCTGGTCATCTGAAGAAGAAGTCATGTTGGCGGCAGTGGGGCTCGAACCTCCACCACCACCTCCTAAAATGCCACCTACTAACCGGCCTGGAAGACCAAAGACACCCCGGACAACGCCTTTCCCTCCTGAGCCTCCTTGTCGTCCAATACCACCCAATCTCTGCTTATCTTCCTCAGAAAATCCCAGCATGCGGACCATCAGGTCCAGAACCTAAAACAATAACTATTATTATTATTAATATCATTATAACAATAATAATATACTCCCTCCGTCCCGAAAACAACTTCCCGGTTGGACTTTCACACACTTTTAGGAAATAAATTTGACTTTACTGTAGATTGCACTGTTTTGCATTGTTTAAACACTGTTTGGCACTGTTTAAACACTGTTTGGCACTGTTTATCACTTTTTTGATGTAGATAATTTACCAAATAAGGAAAGTTTTTTTTTTTTTTTTTTTTTTTTTTTTTTTTTTTACCAAATAAGGAAAGTATTGAAGTGTGAAGTTAATTTTGGGACATCCATTTAAGGAAAGTGGGAAGTTGTTTTCGGGACGGAGGGAGTATGTGGAGCAGTAATTATAATAATAACAATAAAAATAATAAACAGTCATGTAGTATAATACGAAGCACTACGTATTCACTAACTATTATAGTTATAAGTAAAATAAACATAATAATAGGTCTACCACATTAATTGGGACATTATAAATCCTTGATCAGGTCTATTAAAAAATGAAAAAATAAAATAGCGCAGTATTGCAATCGGTAGTTAAAAACATCTTTGGAATGTAAAAGTACCATACAGAGGATGCATATATTTCATGTATACCTGCCATCCGACAAATATGGCAAGTATATTGTTTTTCTTTTTAAATTTTTTAAACAAAAAAGTCCAGTAAATATGTGTACCTCTTTGCTGTGGTTTCTTTGGAAGTAGGTCACTAGTAACTTGACCACGATTCGCCTGCACCGTTTTAATAAAAACCCGCTGAGACAGAGCATAGAACACTGGAAATAGTAATAAATTAATATCATAATGCTGCTGCTGATATAACCCGGCTGTTGTTTTTTGCCGATAATCAAGTGCCAACTGTCACTTGCAGAAACTAACCTGTCAACATAGTTGTCTGAATCTAAAGACATCCTGTTTATTCTGGTCAAGCTATGTTCAAGAGCACGGCGTAGTTTTTCATTGTCTTGCTCCAACTTATTCATTCTATTCTTCCAATCAGCAAATTTCGTTTCCGCTTCTGACAGCTTTACTAACGCTTCTTCCTTATCCCTGCTCAAGTTTTCTGACCGCTCATATGCGTCCTAATAAAATCATAGACACTTTTTAGAGTTGAAATATCAGAGGATCTGGTCTGAAAATTGACCAATATATCCAAGATGACACATATTCACTTGTAAACATGGCCTTGACTACAGAGGGGAAAGCATTAAAACCCACATCAACACCTCCATTGTTCATAGACCAGAAAATTGAAGGCTTTCATATATGATATATTAGCAAGTTAGCAACAGATAATGTAGTTTAATGTTCCCCCAATTGAAATCCAATTAGCTTCTGAAGTGGCAATTTATTAATAGAACCTAAAAAATTACACTAGCCTAACAATGTCTCAGTATGCGTTCTAATACATCAAGTTACAACCAAGAAATTTGTTAGGCTTTCTCGTGAAAGAACAATAAATGTTTCATGGGAAAAAATTTAAAAAAAAAAAATCCTTCTCGTGAAACATCATTTTTCCTTTCAAGGAACAATAAAATTTTCCTTCTCGTGAAACATCATTTTTTCCCATGAAACATTTATTGTTCTTTCATGTTAGTCCTTATCTATGCTTACTTTTTATAAGTCTTCAATTATGAAGTATAATAAATGAGGATTAAATATGTTCCTCTGTCCCATAATGTTCTTCCCTTGATTCTTACACTGTTTTAGGTGGTAAAGTTGTACGTGAAATTTATTTAGAAAGGTAGAACCAATACAAACCACACAATTCTTAAAACAAAATGAGAATAACCTTTTGAGATGATTAAAAAGAAATGTGGGAAGAACATTTTGTAGCAAAGGAAGAAATCTTTTAACCCCCAAGAAAATCAACTAATATTATCTACTTCCATGGGTGCATGTGCATTGTAAAGAAGACCCCAGGGAGAATTTGCTTCTGCTAATGGCACAAAACATCCCTAGTTTCCCTATCCCATTATTCCACATTTAGGAAAAGGTGTGGGTTTCAGTGAACAATTAGAGATTAACAGTGCTGGTCCTCCATAAGAGCATCTCTAATGCTCCACTTTCAACATTGAAAAATAATTGACACATGGCAAAAAATGTATGGAATGTCAAACCACATAAGATAAAAGTGGAGGTATAATAAATAGAAAGCATAAAGTCTTCTCCAATGCAATTTTAAAAGACTCAAGTTCCGTAAACGGAAAAATTTTGCAACTGCCTAAGCCACTAATGGATAAAGATGATATCCGTATTTATCGCCTCTTAAACAAATCGGCACCACTTATTTTCAGTTTGAACCCAAAATGCTGATTCAGCCTGTGTAAATGACTTTTGAAAATCAGAAAGTGGGTTCGACACTTTCATTAAAACGTATGCACCACAGAACAAAGTAAAGACAGCATTGGAGGAGTTTTATTAATACGGTTTTAGTGTTGTATTATGTGGCGTCCATTTTTTACTTTGGAAAGTGAAGCATTGGAGATGCTCTAAAATCAGAGTTTCACTAGAAGGTCTAAAATCTTCAAAGAAAAATTTAATAACAGTTCATAAGATCTCTCTGCTATATTAAGCATAAAGGTAGCTCAGACCTTTAAAAGCGCAGAAAGTCTAGCGGATTCTTCCTTCACTGCGGTCAAATCTTCTGCCAGGCGTTCCTGCACATTCAAAAACAGTGCCATAAGAACTACATACATGTTCAGATATTACCCTTTTTCGTGCTTAATGTTAAAGAAATGTAAAATACCTAACTTAAAAAAAAAAAGAACGATATATAGTAACATCAATACATAGTCAAATTTCGTCCAATCCTTCATTCTAATTTACGGAGTAAATGCTTAAGCATCTTTCGTAGACAGTAGAAGAGGGATAGGGGATGTAGAAATTTCATACAACATGGTTAGATAACAACAGTTCAAACAAATGGGTCAGCATGCCTTTACAACATATGCTTCCCTTTCATATGTTCATTATATCAGTGAAAACTCTCAGACTTGAGTATAGATAGAGTTTACCATTTTACCTTGGCTTCAATTTCGGCATAGTACTGGCCAAGCGCAGTTTGCAGGTTAAGGACTTCGATACTTTTGGCATCTATTGTGCTTAAACAGCTTGCCAGTTTTCGATTCAGCTCATCAACTGTTTCCTTTGACTTCACCAGTTCTCTATCAGTACGGATCTTGACTTCATTCAAGCTACCATTTGCCTGCTTAAGATCTTTCTCCAACTGCAAAATTCGAGCATGTTGGGATTCACAAATTTGCCGTAGTTCTTCAATGACTTTGGTGTCTTCGTCCATCTTCTCTGATTCTTCAGATTCCTAAAAGCACGGGGAGCAAGATCTTGAGATTTCATAACGTGATTAATGTTAAAGAGGTCCACAATTGCTATCATTATTAATGACAAAGATTAAAGATTTAGAATAGGGTTGTGATAGACTCTACTAATCCGAAGAGAGGAGATAAATACTTTGGCAAAGTAAATTCTAGAAGGAATAAATAGAAGAGTTAGTTGTTAGTCAAAGTTTGTTATTAGCTAATAACTACCTTTGGTTAGACTGAATTACTATAAATAGAATAAAGCAGGGAGTTGAGAGTAGGCTGTTTTGACTCTTAAGTCTGTACTGGGAAGATTAGAGTATTATATCTATCTTTTGGGGGCTTCGGCCATTGTTGCCTGTTCATATTGAATAAAGTTGCAGTTGTTTTTCTTGATCCTTTCTGTGAATTGTTTGTATAACTGGATAATTCTATCAGGTTGCCACATATGTGATGAAGGCAAATAGTAGTCAATCAAAAGAGTTGTGAGAGAAACCCAGATCATGATCAGAAGAGTAAAAAACAGTAAGATATTGAAAAAATCAGTCGGCTGGAGCATACAACAATACAACATTAGATGCCTACCCATTTCATTATTAGCCTAAACTGAGTTATCTAGTGTTCAAGTAGCAGAACTTCCTGTGAATAACCAAATTGTCCAAATGAATAAAAGGATAAGGCTCTTTACTAATGATCAGGGTGAATGTGTCATGATCCTTCATCTAAATGGAAAGAGATAAATAGGAGAATAATTTAGACTCTAGAAAGGTCGTGATATGTTCAAGATCAACTCACGAATGCAGTCATTCTTTTACGTACTGATCAATTCTATGTATTCATTTTAAATCTCCCCTTCTGTAATATACCAAAAAACTACATAAGCAAAGGAGATATGACCTTCTCTAACAAGTGCTGCTTAAGACGGTTCAGTTCTAACAATGCCTTATCCCTTTCTCTGCGTGTTTCCTTCAAATCATTCTCAAGCTTTTGTAGTGATTTCTCCATCACTTCCTTTTCTGGAAATACAGGTGATGACTGACCCTGAAATTTCAAAAATAACAAATAAATCATCCAAGGAGCTTAAATTGGGGAAATTAAAGTTGGATTGGATAGTTTAGAAACGTACAAAAAAAGATGTATGCAGTCATTTTATCTTATGAGTAATATTTAATGGTTAAGCATACCCACCTCACCACCAGATGAAGGAGCCTGTACTGTCAAAAGTTTGGATGCTTCCAAGGAAGCTTCCAATTTATCTTTATCATTCTGAATCAAAGAGATACTGTTAAGGACCTACCAGACAAACCACTTGGGAGACTCTAAGATTTACAGTCAAATGCAAAGGTCATTCACCTTGAGTTTGTTGTTTTCCTCTCGCAGTGCAGCTACTACTCTCTTAAAATCCTCCAGTTCTTTTTCTGCTAGTTTAGTATCCCTGTTATGAAGATTTAATTCATGTTGCTGGATTTCAGCAACTTTCTGATTCATTTCATCGTTAATTCTAGCAACCTCCTGAGCCATCTGTCACAAAGGAAAATGGTAAATAAACATATAAAAACTGTGCATCTATGCCACCTTTGGCCCTTTCAAATGCAGTAAGGAAGGTGTCGTGAAAAGTAAACATACTGATGTTGCTGATAATATGAAAACCAACTAAAATCAGCTGAATATGGGTAAGTTAAGGATTAAATAACACAATTTTAAATTTGAAAGTACACGATTTAAAAATTAAGATTTGGACTATGAAAATAATCATGTTGGATCACGGTGGGTCATCCGGAAACAGTCTCTCTGTGCTTTAGTACAGGGGTAAGACTGCGTACATCCGACCCCCCCTTACCCCACCATAGGTGGGAGCCTTTGCGGCACTGGGGTAAATGAAAATGATGAAAATGATGATTAACAAAAAAGCATCCTTTGATTCGTCAACTGGGAACCAAGTCAGAAAACAGTGTAACATTGACATTTGTATCCAAAATATGAACACAAAAGTGAAAAAATAACAAAATAATAAAGCATAGTGTCATGTATTCAAATGCAACTCATGTTCCGAAAAGCAGCATTTTCGGTGATTCCATGGAGGCATTGTGTCACAACTTACTTTCTCCTTGTCAACTTTTAGAGACCTTAGCTCCTGCTGAAAAGATGCACTCAACTTCTGCTCCTCTAAGAGTGAAAATGCACAAAACGTTAAAAAATTGGTAGAAGCGCAGGCGAAATAGCACACATTTACCGTTGAGTGTTAGATTAGTACACATGTACCTTTTAATTTCATTTCAATATTTTCTAGCTTGCAGCGTTCTTTATCAAGCTCAATTCCTAATTGTTTTATCTGTAATTCATAACTCGCTTGCATGGATACAAGAGACATGCTCTTCTCTTCCAGCAAATCTGCAAGTTCCTAGAAAAGATAAATATCTGTAAACATATTTTGTTTTGAATACATCCATCCAGCATGGTAAGAAAATAGAAATCCTATGACAGGATAACACTTGAATCAAGTCAAAACATGCAGGGTGTGTTCCATTAAGTATGCAGTGTGAAATCGGTAAGCATGGTGAAAAAACATGGCAAGTCAAATGAAAACTCTGGAAGTATGGCAACAAATTCAGTTCATACTTGTGAAGCTTTTCATATATATCATTAGTGCAGACCATAGAATAAAAAAAGCAGAACCAAAGTTCAGAGTTATGGTTCAGTTGGAAATGTATAAGTGAAAGTGTGCTGCTACCTTCTCACGACCAAGACTTTCTCCATTGCTTAGTCCATCATGCTGGGGGAAAAGGCCATTACTGGATGGGTTTCCTTCTATGTTTTTACTTGCTAGAATTTTACGATGACTATTTGATAATTGATCGATGCTCCCCTAAAACAGAACCATGTAACAATTCGTTTAGTGCTTGTTTTGTTAGAAAGAGGATTAACAATCCATTCTCCTAAGAGTGAGGGGAATCACAAATCACAACCCCACCTCCTCTCTCAAAAGTCAATACTATTCCAAACTAGACTTCTTGGTGGGAACAAATTTGGCTAAAGTGATTTAAATAAGTTGAATTTGTTGATTTGCGGTTCAAATAACCAAATGGTTTGACTTGTCTAAAACAGGTAGTACAAATATATCTTCAATAAATTAAAGAAAAGGCAGAGTACTATCTAAAAGAAGAGACAGAATTGTCAATTATCTTCATTTCAGCAAATAAATTGGTCAAATATGCAATTGTTTGGTAGAAAATTTGAATGATAAGGCCATCTGGTAAGCTAAAAAAGGTGGTTGTCACTCAGATCAGTTCTGCGTTTTGTTCAAATAAAACCTAATTGCAACTACTAGAATATCAGTGGGATACTGAGATTAGAATGAACTAAAGAGGTAGGAAATCAATACGTGGCACAAACAAATGTGACTGTGTCTATCAAGTTAGTACCTTGGAAGAATGTCTAGGCACAGTAGGTGTATGACTTGTTTGTAAATTTTGCTTGAGTGAACTGTTTTCTTTACTCAGCCTCCCAATATGATCCTGTCAAATGAAAACCACTGAGTTCTAGAAAGAAAGAAAAAGCAGAAAATATTAATGTCAAAATGAGGGACAGAAAATATTCTCCAATAGAATATTGTGATCTCAGAAAGTAATTGTTTGGAGGACCGAGAGATATGATGTGCAAATTGCAACTATTAAGGTGCACTGCAGTCTACAGATCACAAATTCACAATTATGATTACCTCTTTTTCCTTTAGCAGTGCAGCATAATTAACAGACAATGCTTTGATTTCAGCTTCAGATTCTTTAAGTCTTTTGATTTCTGCTTTGTATTTTTCCAACTACACCATAAACCAAAAGAAAGAATTTTTAAAAATTGCGAATTAGCAGAGACATTCCTCCAGCGAGGTTATTTACAGCTTCTCCCCCAACAGCCCAACCCTACTGCAGAGTGCAGTGGGAGATGGAGGAGGTACAAAGAATTTCAATAGTGGCAGAATTGTTAGTAATAGGCAATTAGGCCGCAGCTTTCACCAGCATAGTGGCTATAATTTTGATGAGTAGGAACTCCAATCAGAATTGCATCATAATAAACACGCCCATTCATAATTGAATTCATATATGTACATAAATCTGTTCATGGATTGAACTGAAAATTATGAATTAGCACAATGTTCTAATCAAAAGTCCCATCCTAAAACCAAATTCTCCGACTAAATTGTAGATCACATCACAAGAGTATGTTAATTACAAAGAGGGGGGGCCAAAAAGGTCATTCCTTCCGGTTGCAGCCGTATCCTTGTTCAGATTTAAACAGAACCTTCAGTTCTCATGAAGAGATAGAGTGAGCTCAGTACCTCAGTCTTGTAAGCAGAATCGAGGCCATTAGCGACCGGAGAATGGTAATTATGTATCGGCGATTCAGAATGAGATAAATTCCTAGAAATCCTTCGATTGGCTGGCGAAACTATTAAACTATCGACCGAATCACCCGAATTGTGGGGCATCGACAGGTGGGCATCATCTTCATCGTCGTCCTCGTGAATTTCAAACGCGATTCGGTTCAAATTCTCCTTCAAATTTTCGATTGAGCTCCACATCATTTCACTGCTCTCGACAAACAGTTTGCCTTCAATAGCGCTTCAGACAGAGTTAAAAATAAAGAACGCCAGACAATGAGAAGACAATCGAGACGCGAAATCAGACGAAGAGGGATTTTTAGTAACAGTTCTTGTCTCTAGTCACAACTCGCAGCTTGGTTTAGAAATCCCGGGTTGAATTGAATAGGGGATACGCACTCGTCCGTGGATGACGATAGAGTTGTACGTTTTTTTTCTGGAGCTAATACAAAAAGTAGTTCGTACACGCCTAATTCAGTCCCAAATTCTCAAAACTACGGAGTATTAACTTGGTCAGTTTTTCTTTTCAAATTTTCTTTTCAGAATAATCCCAACTTTAGGGACCTTCCGTCAATAATGGTCCCTATGAATAAATTCTTGTAAAGTGGATGAGATGAGATATAACAAGTAATCCCTATAAATAATCTCAATTTTAATTTTTATGCTTAATTTCTATTTAAAATTCACTTTTTATAGAGGTAATATATGATCATGGACCATTTTTGGCGGATAGTCTATATAGTTGGGATTATACAAAAATAATCAATAGTTGGGATTATTTTCAGCGGACCGGCAATAGTTGGGATTATTATTTTCAATTTTTCCAAAGAAAAAAACTTGATCAGTTTTTATACCCACATTCACCTTTTTACCAATTTGACTCAAGTATTGATCCAAAAGGTTGAATCGCCAACCCCAAGTGTCCCCACGCCCCGACCCGACAGAGCACATGAGAGGATGTAAGTCACGGTGACTTAGTCAGCAGAGTGGCAGTAGACCATACACCCGTGCGCACTAGAGGTTCAGCCTTATTTCAGGTTCTATAACCTCCACCTGATCGCTGCGGGGATTCGAACCTTGATCATTGATCCAAATTTCTCACCACTTAACCAACTGAGCTACCCGTGCGGGTATTTGACTCAAGTATATAAACATAGAAGATGTTGGGTCTACCAAGAACATCCTAAAGTAAGAGATCCAATTAAATGAGTTTACTTATGTGGTAATGTAGATGACTTTTCTTACCTAGTTTTTACTCTCATCACAAAATTTATTTTAAAATGTACTCCGTAAATAGTTACTAATAAGAGATTGTTATAGGAAAAAATATGACTCAAGCGATATATTGTGTGGATTAAACTTTTGTTAAGTGTAAAAGGGTGGAATATAATCATTAATATAGGGCTATCTCATCCAATAAATGTAAGTTTTGGTTCTAATAGATTATACGAGTATCCGAACTAAAGAGAGATTTATAGTCAAATGGGAGGTTAATTCAATATAAATAGTTATCATCTTCCTATTAGGGGTTTGTAAACAAGGTTCATCACTAATCAATATTCATTCAATATTGTTATTGGTCAGCTTCCTTCTCTCTAACTCTAAATCTGTCGTCCAAACCATCACTTCCATTTGTTATTGGCCCTTCAAGTGGTAGGGCCAAGCGGTGTATACTAACACGTAGGGCCAAGTCAAAGTTAGATTTTTGGGGTAAGGGGCCGTGAAAGCGGTGGAGCTAGTCACTATAAAAAATTTACTCATACCTTAGTTTTAACCATCGCTTCCAGCATAGCTGATTGTGAGGATATCCTTGCATAAGAGATGTCTCGTGTTCGAGTCCCATTAGCACTAATGGAACTATGCTCCCCCAAAAAAACCCTTCAAGTGGTAGGACCAAACGGTGTATACTAACCCGTAGGGCGAAGCCAAAGTTGGGCTTCTGGAGTAAGGGGCTGTGAAAGCTGTGGAGCTAGTCACTATAAAAAGTTTACCCATACCTTAGTTTGGACAGAGCCCCACTCTCTATCTGTCAGATTACGGTTATAGTCCAATTTACATCCTCTTATCGTGCCGTCCGGTCGGTGTTGGGGGGCCCTCATGGATGGGGTGTCATCCTTTTTTTTCTAAATCTGTCGTCCATAATTATATGTTTGGATATTCCTATAATCGATCAGGTTCAAACCTAACTAACTTAATAGTTTGAGTCCAAACGGATATTGATTCAATAGTCAATGGCTCAATGCATGTCTCTATTATTAACTCTTGTCTAAAGCATGTTTGGAGAAACTTATTAGACCATTTGTTGATGGGAAAACTCACACGTAAGACTATTGGCCTTGTGAGGTGTATGACATGTATCAATAGCTGTTATACATTTTTAAAGACATACAGTAATGAAGTTAAAAATCATTTACATGTTCAGATGCGTCCATTATAAGATATCAAAAGAAATTATTATCTACAATCTCTCTATGTTTTTATCATCTCTCAATATCAAAAGAATTTATACTTTCTTCTTTTCATTCCTCTAATTTCCACTCCTCTTATTTAAATTTGTTTATTGTTTATGTAAAGCATGGTTGAAGTCTATCAAACAACATTATATTCTTAAACAATGGTTAGCATTGTTTGATGTCAATCTAATGTGCACATACGAACATCGGAACATGTACTTCAAAACATGGACTCAATTATTCAAATTCTCTCATCTACCTTGATCACGTCACACATTCTTCTTTCATATATTATCTTCGTCGAATAATCCTTTTGCAGTCAAAGTTAATTTCTTCTTGCGTTAAATCACAGGGCGACAGAACTCTCCATCCATATGCCGTCTCTTCTTCATATCAATGCTGGTGGGAAATTCAAACAGTTAGACCCCCCATTACCAAACTCTTGAGTCTCCACATTCTGATTCCATATGAGTTGAAAATACCCATTATCCCTCAGCATAGATCTAATTTGAACACTTTTAATTGTTCTTGTGATCCCACATCCTCTCTCAGCCTCCAGCTTTGTTGTAGGCTTGTAGCTTTCAGAATCTCTTTGATGCTAGGAAATTTATTTTGTGTTTTTTTTTCAAATTTGTTTCATAATTCAAACCTATTATATGTGACTTTTGAATTATTTTGTCTTTGTTTGGAAACAAATTAACACGACGTAATTTTTTATATAACTAAATATATGATTTATGTAATCATATTTAAAATTTAAAGCATCAATTTTTGTTTGAAAACATTTTCTTTTTTATATTTTTAAAGCACCAAATTGAAAAATGCATTTTGGAGCATTCACAATCGGGGCCAATTAAGAATTGCGGGGACTGATTTAAACTAGTATAAATCACACACATAACTATTCAAAACCAGTCTACAATAACATAACTTAATAATAGAAAAATTTATAGAGAAGAAGTAGATATAATGAAAATTTTATAATAGAAGAGCCATATTTCATTAGATCGATATGAGTAACTTTCACCTTGTCCTCATGCTTTGCCAACATATCTTAGCATTGTCATGCTTTAATATGAAAGAATGAAACAATAGAGCTATTAGATTTTGGGTGGACAAAAAAATGACCTTTCCCTCGACAAAAAATGATCAATTTTTTTTAAAGGCCCTAAATACGCAACACTCCTTCGCTCTCGATCATCTTCACGCCTTTCCACTTGCGCTGGTGAGACAGAGTTTTCGATGTCGACATAGTTTCACCCTCAGCTCATTGTAGCCATTCACGTTCTCCGACATCGTTGTCATCGTCTCTACGCGCTGAATCCACTCCTCCTCCTCTTCATATTCTCCTTTGCTCTCATCTGCAACTCTATCGTGGCCGCTTTGGAGCACCTCTATTGTTGTCGTCTTCGATGGAGCGTCGAGGTAACCGTCGTTCAAAAGGATTTGTCCAAATCATTAGACTTCTAGTTCCTGACAGCTGGATTTTCAGGTCCTATCGACAAGGGGTTCTTGTTAGGAGTGAGTGATGGGCATTGAATGTCAGCTGCAAGGGATCAATAGTGAAGGTGAAGCGACGAGGGGTAATAGAAGGGGGCAAGGCGGGAGTTATGTTGGTGTGAGTGGGGATGTGCGATATGGACCGCGGTTAGGGAGTGGTCACTGGCGAACGGAGTGGCGGGGGCCATTGTACTGAGTGGCAATGGTTAATGGACGTGTGGCGGTGCCACTCTAATCAATAGATTTTAAGTGGGCAGCGTCACTACCTCATAGGCAGCGCTTGTACGAGCCCTTATTGGGAAAATATGTTACTTTTGACAGGGTAACTATCACTAGCTAATAGTAGTCACCAACAACAATGAGGTCACTGATGGCAACATAATGATGATGACTAATCAATGACAATATTAGATCAATGTATACGTAACAACATGTCATCGGGGTTGATGTCACTGTTGTTGGGGTAAATCACGTAGGGGGTGATAATTTGAGTACTTGGATTGCTTAAGGATCGTGTAAGTTCACTTTCCGAATTGATATTTCTCCCCTATGCCTGGGTTACAAGAAATTCAATCTAGGATAATCCTTAAGGACACTCTAGAACTTAGGCACAAGAACTAGAGCCAAACTAGTGAGTATATGGATTGCTATCTTTAATTTGAGTGCCAAAGTGATGAAGATATGTTGGATATGATTCCTCCTCCTCCTCTGTACGAAATATGGTGGTATATATCCATATTCATCGTCCTAGGCAGTAGTAACACGATTAAGAATAACCGCAGCAGTTTTTGGGAAACTGCTGGAAACTGCCTAACCGTTCTAGAACTCGGTCTAGAACCACAGAGCTGGTCTACTGAAAGTTATACCTCGAGTTTTACCTCGAGTTCCACTAACGTAGACACTTTGGAACTAAACTAGTTCTTATATACAAGTGTGCACTCCACACCTACTAACTTGTATTAGATCATAGTTCTAATTCCCATTGGCACTCATGTCATTTCCAATTACACAAAATGGCCGGTGACACTAAAATCACCAACAATCCTCCCCCATTTTAGTGTAACCCATGAAATGACATAACAAAGCTTACAAACCAAAACTTGCACATAAATGGAAATGTCGATACGATTGAATTTCCATCTTAGTATTTTACACATTCAAAATATTCGAGAATCGGGGTGTCCTACGGATTGAACCCTTCAACCCATTTGAATACCTCAAGATAAAATACATACAAGTTTCAATACTCAACTAGAATACAAACTTGACACAATTATAAAGCCGTGTGTCCTAATCCCATTCATGACCGTATAAAAGCCAAGTCCCAAGCCTTTTGAAGTGCGGCTACACTTCACGATCATATAGGTAATTCCTTTACTCGTGTACCTGCTTACACTTTATCAAAGGAGTTATTAAGAAATAAATTCAGCCTCCCTACTACAGGTCCGAACACACACCTTGGGATGATTTTCATTGTGTGTTCCA